GAAAGCTTTCTTACAACTTTCGGAAAATACGCTGACAAAATATTGGATGCCATTTGCCAATTCATAACTTAACCAATACAAACACCATTGCCTTTTCGAAAATGAAAAAAATGATAGTTTGATAGGAGTCATCAAGTGTGTGTTCAAAACAAAAAATATTGCAAATTGTAAAATCGCCATTGATATTTTAAACCATAGCCGTACCATTGGTATGAATGATTCAAAGCGAAAGAAATTTCTTCGTAATTTTATTTACAGTTTTCAGTTGGTTCTGGAAAACGAAGAAATTTTTGAAATATCCCGATCGGTAGAAGAGTTGTTGGAAAAAATTAAGTAGTAATGTACAATTTTGTAATAGATATTCTGTTAAAAGTGCTCTTAAAACTTCGCTTAATGTATTGATAATGAAAGCGAGTATTTTGATTTATTTTGAGCAACATTCAATCGACTGATGAAAGGCGAATGTTGTGTCACATATCAAAACCATTTCCAATTAGTCTAAACAACCCAAATTATGTCAGGGAACAACAACGCACTTACGCTAAATGCATAAAAAACAAATTGAACCATTCAGTGCCTCAAATAAAGAATAAAATAAACGAAATCCAAAACAAACATTTTTATTTTTCTCGTATACAACGCACTTTTTTGAGCACCTAGAACGATTAACGTTGTCAGTGTATTTCTTGTCAACGTGAATCTTGACACTTACCTTTTAAAAGCAACTTACTCTTCTCCAATTTTACTATTTGATCACACAAGCCACAACGGCAGAACTTCTGTTGGTAAATTGATCATCTATGTTCGAAAGACATTCAAATGTAAAACACATTTTCTTTAGGTCTAACGTTCGACTTTATTCAAGGATGCGATTCGTTCATTCATACGAAATCCACGAAAAGGTAAAAGATAAATTGGTAATTTAACTGTTTGTGTTCTATTCATTCGTAATTTCATTAAATAATCTTAGCTTTATTGGTTGTTTTCTTGATAATATAATCTGACATCGGTTAGTATTGAGTTGTTTTTTTCATTGCTTCTTGGCGGAACAATGTGTATTTGGCAGATGACTAAAGTATTAAAGACCAATAGTTTGAGCTAAATCCGAATAAATGTGTAGCGTCAACACGCCGATGCTACATGTTGCAAGCGCTTTGAATGCCAACAACGACCACAAACCGGTAATCACAGTCTTTAAAACGGCATCGAGCCACAACACTTTGAATGGCGTCGCAATTAGCAGCAATGTTACAATTGGTTTGTATTTGATATTGAGATCATGACGAGTGAAGAGCCAAATTAATGTTGATGTGGTCAAATGTTGAATCTATGGGAAGAAGAAAAGATTTAAATTACAAATTAATAAAAAAAAAAATGGCTGAAAAATGGGGAAAGTGAGATCTTCAATTGAATTTGGAAAAGCTTGAGAAAAGAATGGGAAAATGAGTCATTCCAAATGAATTAATTGAGAATGAACAGAGAAAAATGCTTGGCTTGAAGATAATACGAAAATTAAAGTGTTTAATTAACACTTTAGTCGGTCTCAATGTGATATTTGAACACTCACCAATGAGATATTTGATTCCAAGCACTTTTGAATGTATAACCAGCTGAATTCGGCACCGCGAGCACCAACCCACAGCATTAGTCCACGCGAAAGGATAACTTCAGCAGTGGCCCATCCCAAACCGGCCGTAATAAGTTTGCTGTGTCCTTTGCCGGGGATGCGTGACAACACAAAAGCGAGACCCAACAAATCGGCAATATCGATGGTACATCTGAGGAACTCCTGCAATGGAAAATCAATAATTGAAAAACAAAAACACAAAAACTACAATTTAAACCACTCAATTTGGGTACTCACACTGAATAAATTTAACTCGTCTGTGGGGCTTGTGCTAGTATCGGGAAAGAATGTAGCTAATACAAGCATTTTACACAATTGTGTGAATACATAGATTCCGCTGGCTTGAATGCATTTCCAAAATGCACCATACTCCGATCTGTTTGAGGGAATAAAAAAAACGAATCCAAATTAAGTGCACCATGCCTCAATGCTAATCACCGGGTCAATTTGATAAAATTTATGGGTCATATGATTTGAGTCTTTCTATGAATAATTGAATGAAAACACTTACAATCCAGAAAATTTGTATGTTAAATAATACGGCACATAAACGAGAGCCACACAATTACCAAAATGATACAAAGTCATGTTTTAATTTCGAATGAAAAAGGAAAAAAAATTTGTTCGGAATTATTACGAAGTGGTAAATCAATGTGGATTTTATCCTACGGTTTAATGACACTTCAATATTAGTTTCAATTAATTGTTGCACGAGCTCAAAGAGGCATTGCCTGTCAGACACCTGTCAAAATGGATCTCGTTTTTCTTTCCCTTTCCTTTTCTTTTCTTTCAAATCGAATGATGACCAAATTTAACTGACGTAATTGAATTTCCAGCCAAATTTACTTCCTATTTTGTTTGGTGCAATAGCAAACGAATCGATATTCAACTAATTTAATTTGTTAACGAAAATAAAAATGGTTTTATTCAATTAATAACAGTATTGAGTGTAAATGTTTTTTTTTACTTTGTCAAATCCAATGTCTGGCAGCGACATCTGACATCGAAAGTAACATTGAATGACGTGTCAAAACTGTCATCACTTTCTATGAACGAAATTCATGTATTCATTGTCCGTCATAGAAAACATATAAAAAGTTAAGACAAAAAAAAATTTAAAGCAAAAAAAAAGGTTTGTTGGGAATTTCTACGCGTACGAAACGAGAAAGGAACAAAAAATTCCATCGAATTTATTGAGTAGCATTGAACGAAAGTGTAGTTAGCCCGTTTGTATTGTTCTGTTGATTATGAAATGCCAGCTAGACGTCGTTTTCTCGGATCTGAATCAGATGAAAATTTCAGTGTTTTAATTGATGGAGACAGTACTGTAGTGGACAGTGAAACTAGTAATAAACTCATTGAAAGTCCATATAGTGGTGACGAAAAGAAAAAATACGCAACTTCAACGGGCACTAAATACCTTGGCGGTGTTGGTAGCTATAGTGTTGCTGGTTTTTCCGTGCCAACCATCGGTTTGACCAAACTATCATCGAGTATTGGAACATTTTTGCAGCAGCAAGTGACTCAAGTGGCGAACGCAACCAACGCTGAACAGTTATTTTTCGAAAATAATCCAGCCGTACAGCGAAGCAATCCATCCAGTTTCAACAATAATAACGCCACCGCCGCCGCCTTGTACGCAGACGACAATTACGACGACGATTGTGATAGAAACAGTGCTAGTGAAATAGTAATAATGGCTTCGCGCGATCGAAGTGGTGAATTTTTCAATGCAATCCGTTCGATGCAAGGACGGAACATTGCACGGGCCGTTAATATTCGCGATCCACGCAAGGCAACACAACTGCAAAGTTACTCAGAATTTATGATGATCGCAAAGCATATAGGCAAAAACATTGCAAGCACCTATTCCAAATTAGAAAAACTAACACTCTGTAAGTATGAGTTGCACTTTTGACCAAACGTGATGCGTTGGCAAGGTCATGACGATAAATGATGATTATAACAATTATATTTCCGTTTTTGTCGTTACAGTGGCCAAACGTAAATCGCTGTTCGATGACAGACCGGCGGAAATTCAAGAACTGACCTACATCATAAAGGGTGACCTTAATTCGTTGAATCAGCAGATCGCACGTTTACAGGAAATGTCCAAATCTCAGCGAAAAACGACCAATGCCAAACATTTACTATCACATTCATCGAATATGGTGCTTGCACTGCAGGCCAAACTAGCCAACATGAGTACAGACTTCAAACAAGTGCTGGAAGTTCGAACGGAAAATCTAAAGCAACAGAAATCTCGACGTGATCAAGTGAGTACTTTGGTTTATTGGTGACAGAAGCTGAAAATTGTTATTCGATTGAAACAAAGTCCATTTACGATTAATAACTCGTTCGATTGAACGAAATTAAATTGCAATTTAACTAATTTAAATCTTTCGTTTTGCGTTTACAGTTCAGCCAAGGTGGTATTGCGAGCAATCTACCGCCACCATCAATGCGAAAATCAGCCCAAAACAGTCTGTTACTCTCCGAACAGGATCAAGTTAGTATCGATATGAATGCTGATTCAACACCTTTGCTGGCCGGCGATCCACGGCAAAATCAACAGCAACAACAACAACAAATGATGCTCTACGATGAATCCGACAATTATGTGCAACAACGTGCCGAAACCATGCAAAATATCGAGAGTACAATTGTTGAACTCGGCGGTATATTCCAGCAGCTGGCGCATATGGTGAAAGAACAGGATGAAATGGTCGAACGAATTGATACCAATGTTCAAGATGCTGAAATGAATATCGAAGCGGCCCACGGTGAAATTCTAAAATATTTCCAAACTGTTTCGAAAAATCGCTGGCTCATGATCAAAATATTCGGTGTATTGATATTTTTCTTTATTTTCTTCGTAATATTCATGGCTTAGGATTAACAACAACAAAAATAACAACAACAAAAAGTTTATCGTTATATACATGCAAGGAAAAATGTTAATAAAAAATAACGTTTTGATTGTTTTCTTTACTTTTTACACGTTGAAAAAATGGACAAAGTTTTTTGGTTTTTTCAAACGCAATATCCAGAATATCGTATATATTCCGTTTGTGATGATGATAAATCATCGAACATTTTTTTTCGTTCTAAAGGGACTTCGTTCCCAATTCACACATTTTTTTCCAAATTCCGGTCGTTATATTGAACACTATAATCGATTGTAAATATGGCCTTATCTATTAATCGCATGAACAAAATGAACCAAATGTTTATGTAAATAAAGTAAAACACAGAACATTTCATTTTCGCAAGAAAACATTTTCGCGTTTTCTTCTATTCATTTGAACAAAAATCTATCATTATGTTTGGTCAGAAAGCAGCAACAACGATTTGGGTACTCCAAGAAATGGAACACCTTCGCCTGAGGTCCTCAGATGCAATAAATGTTTCGATGAAATTTCAAAGGGAAAACTTGAAAGAAATCCAAAGGAAATCCACCTGTTGATAAAATGAAACTCTTGAGCACATGGTTTTGGAAACAATTTTTAAGTTCCATAAGAGCCAATGTATTTTTGAATGGAAACAAAAATACATAGGGTCTTATGGCACTGGGAATATTGTTTATAAATAGTGTGACTGGACCCTAACAGTAACAAAATTGAAGAAGAAAAGAAGTATTCGAAGAGAAGAAGAAAAAAGAACGTTATCATTTATGAAAAAAAAAACTGTTTCTTTATTCCATTTAAAATAAATAATTTTCTGTTTCATCTGTTTCAATTCGATTTTGTCTAATCATATAAAACAATCAGGTGGATAAATTTTAGGAGCATAATATCACGAGCTCAAAATCAGAAAATGACCAGTAGCTGACTGGTTTTACTATCCAATGTACTTCTACTTTATTTGCTGTTTGCATATTACACTCATATGGTGACTCTCACCGATCGATCTCTTCGTTAATGATGTGCATAGCACTGCCATTAACGCAACTGGCTATAGCCACTCTACTATAGCTGATGCTATTTTGCGACAAGTGCAACGTTGAACAAATTAAAGTGGAATTACGTGATTACAATCTATACGTGATACAATTTTCAATGCGCAATTGCCAACGATTTACCTTGCATAAAAAATCTTTTTATAGAGAAATTTGTTTTTGCTTTCGCAGAAAACTATAATGAAGTTGAAGATTTTTTTTTGTCTCATTTTTGAACGATTTTCTCAGTAAAGTAGTGTAGTTGTCCGTCAAAGGGCGTTTAGTTGTGCTTACAATTTAATTATCCAATGAGAATATGACAAATGTAACGTGTCGTGCCATGTACGACTCAATTATATACCTGAATATAGGTATAATGTATACCCATCCGGTTTGATATCGGTTACAGACAGAGGTGTCATTATATGAGTGTAATATATAACTACTGACCATGGTCATACTGCACAGTTGAAATTATTCCAGATAGTGTCAGGTACTATCAGGAACACAAAATTCATGGTTCAACTGTCAAAATAGTTGAATTTTTGATAAAATTTTTCAGATTTGTTGATAAAACAATGAATTGATCGAATTTACTGGACATGGCCCGGAATAATTTCAACTGTGCAGCATCATCTAATTTCCTTTGCCTTCTTTCATTCCCTTAAGTATACGTATGTAGGATTTTTTAATGCCAAACTTGTAGAAGGCCAAGAATGGAAACCAATAAATGATATACTGTGATATCCACACTTGATTGTTGAAGTACCAACGGAATACGAAGAAATTGACCAGATACGTGTGTGCTGTGACTTCGATGTAAAGTATCAATCGTGAGTACCAATTTAACGATTGAATAATCCGGCGGCTATCATTCAAATCGAAGTCAGCTGCACGTGGATCGCTTTCATGATACACATAATTTTTGCAATCCGACATCCATTTGGTGAAATAAACGATTGCATAACAATCGAGTAGCGGATTGAAACACCATAGGCCTTCGATCAATGCTTTGGCCATGACTATAAAGTCGTTGCCGGTCTCTTCTAATAATGGCCGATATATTTCATCCAATACATGTTCTAAGCGAATTTTTGTTGTACGATAGGAACCGGTGCATAGATTGTATTTATCCTGGATACCAATCAAGTGGCCTATGACACGCCAAAAATGTATAAACGCCTCTAAATCCTTATTGCTCACTTGTACACCGAGCTTGTCCGGCTTCAAAACAATGTAGCCCATGAAGCCGAATTGTGTCAATGCCATATCACGTTGTGATATAAAACCAGCTTCCTTTTTTTCTGTGTGTTTACTCGATACTATGTGTCCTTTGCGCACCGCTTCCAGTGACTTCCAAGACCTGATAAACAAAACAAATGAAAATATTGAGAAATACTAGTCATCGAAGCTTAAAATTGCGCTCGATTTGATGTTATGTATTGGCTAAATTTTCATCCGATGAGAATGCTTAATGGTATGTTTTGGATCTTTTGAAGTAATTTCTAACCTACGCATCTAATTTTGTGCTAGTGTTTACCGAAAGACAAACATGCGAATGAAATAAAAATGTATCGTTCCGCTATGCCTCATTTACTGCCACGTGTATGCATTGTGATCTTCATCAGATTTGCTTCCCGATTTAAACAAAAAAAAACAGCTAGACATCGTTATTTGACCATTTTTACTATGAGATCTTCAAATCTTCTACCAAATTTGACATTTTTATCGAAATCAACCATTGAAACATAGTCAAATTTATTCAAATTTTTTAGTTGTTCATGTCACAAAAAAATTATGCTTATTTATTCAAAAACGAACAAAACAAAAAATGTGTCAACTCACCGTGAGCCTGGTTTTAGTTCATCCTCATACCAGCAAAGTGTGTGGAATATGGTTTCCAGGTAACGTTTGTATGCGGTAAACGGACACGACGATGCTTTGGTACAAATCAAAATCTTAAGAATGCTTGGAACGGCTAAAACAGCGAGCAGACCACACAATTTTCCAGCCATCATAGCAAACATATTTTTTGAGAAGAAGTCTTGAGCCCTACAATAAAAGTGATCATAATAATTGTATGCATTTTCTCAAGAGATTTCGAATATAATTTTGAACGGCAAACATTTTGTACCATGCAAAATGTTTAGTTGCTGCAAATGGTAAATATTGAAACTACTGTAGACTTTTGAATAAACAAAACAAAACAAAGACGACGAACCTTTTGAATAGGATTTCATCGTACCACTCGGGTAACTCCATCGTATAACTGTCTACATCGATGTCTACCGGATTGTTGACACCGTCTGCTTGCAGTAGGCTAATATAAGCCTCTGCTTCTGTAAAATGTAATGTGTTGATTTAATTGTAACGTCATAACAACAACATTTTGCAAAAAATCAAGCTGTGCGATTTTTTAAGCACACAATATTTATTGATTCAATGTGATCGATGTGTGTTTCAATTCAAGGAAATTGAATGATTTCTTTCATATTTCATACATATAAAATAGTGAGAGAATAACATTATTTTCTTTTAAAAATCTCTTTGGGTTTCTCATTTCAAGAAAAACAACAATTTGATTCTTTGTGTAATCGTCCATGGTTATTGCACTTATGCTTTATTACAACACAACTGACACAATTATTGGCGAACGGGAAAAAAAAGTTTTTTTTTTAAATGAAAACCTGTTTTATGACCACAGTAACCACAAACCATCTTCATAATAATCAAATTCTTCTCAAAGGTGCGGTGAAAGATTGCAACGGTGAAATCGTTGGGCGAAAGTAAAATCGATTGTTTGTATTGACTCAATACCATTGACACACACCAAAATAAAAAAAACTATTTTCATTTCCGTAAACCAAAATTGACTAAGAAAAAACGAACACTTTTCTACCTTGCAATGCTTGTTGATCTTCTTTCCGTTTCATTGTTGTGTACTGTTGTTTTGATGATGGCTCTCCTACAACTGCTAATGCTCACAATTTAAAACATTACATTTATTCATCGGCTGAATACTGAGACACGCACTACCGATCACGAAATCACCCAACGTTTACTATTTCAAAAATGAAAAAAAAAAAATATCTATTTTGCTCGACTACACAGGTAAGCAAAACAATTTACAAGCTCTAGTGTTTGCGAATCGATTTAACATTGCTCAAATCCAATGAAGACTGTTTGCGCATTTCTGTTTAAATTTTGAATGTATTTTGTACACCGCTGCCTGACGCAAACACACAATCGGAAAAGTGGGAGTATGAAAAATGTTGAGTCTGTTCGATTGAACACACAACACACCGAACACTATGAACATACATTATATACGCGGTTTACACAAGATCAGAAGCTGACAATGAAATATACAATGTGCAGTGCCGTTGCCAGAGTTTGATCGGTGCTTTCTGGTGGGGCACACCGACCCAAATTACCAAAACATCTTCAGCTCATAGCGAATAGGCTGATCTTACATTCGTGTGGTGTATTGATGCAGATTCTTTTTACCAAAATAAATACGTTTTTTCATCGAACACGAACAATTGAACTCCATTGATTATGTATAAACTTGAAAGAAAAAAAATCGAAAAAATGTAGAGAATGAACCTAAAATGGTTTCTGCTTTAAAATAAGCATAAAATTCACCAAATCTCCGCTTCTCGATCAACATTCAATATATTTTGTTCGAAACTTACTTCGTATAAATCAAAACCAATTTATATTGATAAATCAACGTAAATTCATCTCACTGGCTACGGCACTGATACAAAGTAAGCAGTTAGCAGCAAGCAGCAAAAGAAAAATGCCACGAAGAGAAATTTTTGTTGTGAACGAGTTCAGCACGTGTCTTCTCGAATATATCTATCTTGTGCGATTTGATCTCCCAGCACCATTCACCGCAAGCTTTTGGTGTAATCGTGTGCGATTGAAAAGAGCCAAACAAAACAAAACAAAACGAAATGAAAACTATACATTCTCTACACAGTGATGCGAAATAAAGCATAAAAGACGACGCAACACACAAGACATAAATCGAACAGATAGAGAGAAAGTATAATAAATTACGGGCCCCAAAAAATTGCTCTGTGCATATATATATATATATATGTGTGTGTGTGTGTGTCTACTTACCAAAAGCATTGCAAACAACGAAACATTTCTTTTTTCTTCTTCACTCTAATATCAAAAAGAAAATCACACATACAAAAATAGGTATGGCGGCACAATTTTCAACGTACATTCCTAGATCTCAGCAACAGACGCAAATCGATAGCTTATGATATACACGTTCGACCTGGCAACTCGTCTAAATCGTAGTCTTTTGTTTTGTATGCGTAGTATATCGTTCGTCAATGGCGTTGTTTTTTTCATGGTTATAGATAAAAACTCCTTGTGTTTATGCATTGAATCAATTCAAATATGTTAATTGCGCTAAATACCTAGGGGATTCATGCCAAATTTTATTTAGCAAAATCTATTTGTATTATTTAAATCATGTAAAATTCACGCTAGATTTCAAATATTTTGTATTATTTCCCGAATGCGTTGTTATTGTTCATATTCACCTTGAACAATATGTTCTGGAAGTGGGTTTTGGTGGATCTTCAGGATCGTTCAAAACTGCTCCCGGTTCTGGAAGTGGGTTTTGGTGGATCTTCAGGATGGATCAGACTGGGTTTGACAATGCCCTGGCCCATCCTGAGGATCCACTTCCAGAACCAGGAGCGGTTTTGAACAATCCACAGGATCCACCAAAACCCATTTCCAGAATTTTTGAAGCGATAATGACGTCAACAGATTGGACATGGTTCTGCTGACAGTCGGTTTATTGAACAAAATTGAGCAAAATTGAAATTATGCATACATATCTGTTTAATATGTTGAAACATAAACAAATTCATATTATTTGTTCATATTTTAAATATGGAAATTGGCGTGAGTCCCCTAGCTAAATACTAAATAGTAGTCACAACTCAGTTCAGATTATTCGCATCGAGAAATCAAATGTGATTGTTGTTGTTGGTGGTTTTTTTTTTGTCAATTTATTTTCTTACTTTTCTTTTTGACACAAAAATAATAACGACCAATTTTGCCGTAAAAACTACAAATTAAATAAGTCTTTTTTTTTCTAAATCATCATCACGATTATCATTGAATTTTTGTCGCTTGGATTTCCCAACAATATTTTATCATTGTATCTATTTCTATGTCTACGGGCTACATCTAATAATAATCTAATGCGCATTAAAAGCTGTTCCAACTATAAACCAGTTGAAAATGTAAAATCGGTAATTGTAGGCAATTCATAGTGCTAAAATCGATTAAAATGCAGTTAAAATCAAGTTTAGCAGTCTAACTGTCGCTATATATATATATGTATAATCTATCAGGCTATTCTATAATGCCGATTGGCCAATCCATTTTACTGAATACGTAGCAAAAGCGCGTAGTATGGGCCAATTTGTACTACAATGTATTGACTATGGCTGTTGTTGTCTTCTTGTGTTTGTTCTCTGTGATAGATCCGAATTGATGTTGCTCAACTCCATTGCTAGTTTGTATCCGAGCTCCGGGCGACGATCTCTGCCTTCGACCATTGCTTTTACCTAATCGTATTCGAAAATTATACGGTGAAATGTTGCATGAGTGAATTTAAATTCATTGATTAAAGCATTGAATCTTTATCAACAAAAATAAGTTTAAATTTCCAATTAAAATAGCTCAATCTCCCAAAATGAACCCTCGAGAATTTCAAATCAATGTTATTATTCTAATCTCCGCTTATTTTAGACATTTTCCCAGTAGAACGCGATCCAATTTCAAATCATTATTCGTAATAGCAAATGATTTTCTTATCAAAAACATTTCGTGACGTAAATTACTTGCGTTGCAAAACTATTCAAACTAAAATCAAATACAAATGGCCAAATGATCATCATTAATGACGAATACTACGATTTTATTTCATCGTGATCGAACTAAATGGCTATTTTATTCGATTTTATTTTGTAAAAATGGGTAAAAATCAATTTGCCATACATCTTTTGATGTAACAATAACACCGTTTGTTGACACCACCTTCTCCTTAACGTTTTCGATGTCTTTTAAGTCAACACCTCGACAGCAATCGTCCAACAAAATTGTGCGATAGCCACTGGAAATAGCATCAACGGCCGTTGCACCCACACATACCTGAAGAAAATTCCAAACGTTGGCATTCATTTTGAAAATGTATTTAACCACTTAACTACTCTACTAATACTAATTGAAGTGCATATCGAATAAGCTTCATATTTAGCTTCCCCAATTTTTTTTGGATTCAATGATAAAAACAAAAGAAAAATTGAAAATGAACTTACATCATACGCTAGCCCACACACATAGATATCGGTGATTCCTTTCATTTTCAACTGTGCATTGAGTGTTGTTTCCGACATTTTTGCATTATCCCAGAACACTGAATACGAATCGATCTCTGGATTTGTGCCTGACAATACAAAAGAATTAAATTCAATCGTTTGCCTGGCGAATGTTTCCGAATGAAATTTACAAGCTAAATGAATATTTTTTTTTATTTTTATGTCCATTCAAAATAAGAAGAAAGTAGCTAGTTTTAAATTGGTTTTTATGAGAAGTGAACGCCGAAGTTTCGATGTCGTTTGTGATGCTTCATTCAGGGATATTTCTCTTCACTACCGCTTGCGTAAAAATCTAGATTCATATACCTCAGCCATTCAAGCCAGCATTAAACAAACCATTTTCAGCATGAAACAATGCAAATGACGAATATCAACTCGTTAGCTTTTGCTTTCGTAGATGATAAAAACACATGAATAAAATAAGCATTGTTTCGTTATGCTGGAAATAATGAGCGAATGACCGATGTTGATGAATCTCACCGTCGGTACAACAACATGGTCTAGAGAAGAATCACAAATTTTTTCAAAAGTTGACTTTTATTTCAAGTTGAAGCAATTCAAATGTGTGCTTTTGAATTAAAAAAATCTGAAGATCTTAAATTAATCTTACGTAACATGAATTGAATAACAATGAATGAAATAATAACCATTCACAAAAAAATATGAACGTTTTATCTTAAAAGTTTCAACAAAACCTTAGTTGCTAGACTTCAAATACCTTTGTACACTTTAACTGAATTTTCGGCGACCTTGAGATCCTTGTGTAGTTCGGAACCCCATGAGTCTTGTACGCAATGGCGTGGCCAGAGTCGTTGTTTAATGGTTGGTGGTCCTTCAAACACAACCGTATCGAATACTTGTGCCGAATCGGCATCGAGTGGGCTACTCTCATGCAACGGACGCGTTTTTATGTTATCGATAAAAGAAATGTGGTCACTTGGATGCCAATCCAATGAGTAAAACACCGCGTCAAAATCAATGGTGTTCAGTAAATTGTTGATGGGATCAATGATCTAGCATATCAGGAATAGAGTTTTTTTTTTCAATTTATTTAAAATAAATGATGGTTCATAGCAGAAATATATTACTTCGTGACCATTATGTTGTGCACTACAATTACTTATGTTCAAAGAGCCGCTGATGAAGTCGTTCTGCACGTCAATCACAAGGAAAGCATTCACCGGCCGAACAATCTGTGAAAATGCATCAAATTGAACATTTTTTGAATTTTTTTAAAGTTTTTTTTTCGAGAAATTATTGTCTTGGAATTTTTGAAATTTCAAAATAGTTTGAATGTCGTCAAGTGCTGCCTACCGTTTTGATCCATTGATTCCAGCAAAATTGGAATTCTTCACGATCGATAACACCATCTTGGTTCTTGTCGAAAACAGCAAACATTTGTTTTAATTGATCATCTGGGACCACGTAGATATGACCTTTGTCATTTCGAAACAAGGCTCGGCATATCAACGTGAATTCCGTCAAAGACAGCAAATCATCACTAGAAACAACAATAACAACAACGAGAGGGAGAGAGAGAGAGAGAGAGAGAGAGAGAGAGAGAGAGAGAGAGAGAG